AATTACAACATATTAAAAAATTTCTAAATTTCCAAAATTCTATTAATTTATTATTATTATTATTATTTAAGAAATGTTAACAATCAACAAGTAATGCACGTACAAGGAAAATGGTAAACGTTAACCTTGAGCTTCTGAGGAAAACCTATTGTATATAGAAATGAGAAATAAGTCTAGAAAAAAATGCTCTAGCTAAAGGGCTAGTGTTAGCAAAGTCTGAGCCCCGTGAGCTCACCTACCCGTCCGATGAAGTTAGCATAGCCCCTCGAAGTTACTAACAACAGGTAAGCAAATAAAGAGGATAAAATTAAAAGAACGTATTGCAAACACGTTACTCTATTTAAGGAGTTAGTTCTGTTTAATAGGGTAACAAGGACATCGTAGTTCGAGGCCAAATTCAGGACACATAATTGTTCTCGAGTGATACGTTCGAAATTTGTATGAGACGTAAAGTTGTTAATGAGAATCAAAATTTGCTACACGTACATACGTCGTTCATTTAAATTTTCAATTAGATAGAACGACTTTGACCTTAGTTTCGATTATACAGTGCAAAGGTTTCAATTCGAATATTTTTTTGAACACCATTGTCGATTGAAACAAATATACGTTGTGTATTAAATACTAGCGACCCGCCCTCGCTTCGCTTCGGAAACTGTAATTTATTATGGATTTCTCCACTCTTTAATGGATGTTATAATACATATAAACCTTCCTCTTCAATCACTCTATCTATTAAAAAAAACTGCATCAAAATCCGTTGCGTAGTTTTAAAGATTTAAGCATACGTAGGGACAGACAGATATAGGGACAGAGAAAGCGACTTTGTTTTATACTATGTAGTGATGTTAACCTAACTTTATTTCCAAAGACTAGTTCTTGTTCGCCAAACTATAGAAGAACAAAGAAGAAGAGGGTACTACTAATAAAGAAGGGGGTATTTAAGTACTCTTTCATTATATATTTAGTTGGACTTTTTGGCGGGAACGCGAGGAGTGAAGTTGTATAATTTGTTTTATTTTATCTATTTAGTGTTTCTGCGGGTTTAAATGTGTAATAATGACGGTTTATTAACTGTTTAATATCTGTGAAAGTGCACAAATGTGGGAAAATGAAACAAAGCCGCTGGACATAACTTCTCGGGATCCTCCAAAAAGTCCACTGAAAAAATCTCAGTAAATGACCACCATTTTACTGAGATTATATTTCATCCCATTTCATTTCATTTAATTTCATCCCAGTTGATTAATCTCTCAAATTAATCATCTTCATTTCATTTCACTCCATAATATCCATTTTTCATAAAAATATAAATATAAATTAAAATAAGACATGACTTAAAGGTCTGAGTTACCAGGTCATAAAATCACTTAAAAAATATATATTTAGTTCGACCGTTGTCGAGATTAACGTGCTGTTTTTTCGAGACAGTTTTAAAGAAGGTCACTTAGAACCGTCTTGGTCCGAAGATGGCATTGAGTTTAAAAATATATTACATGCTTTATAAGAACACTCTGAGTTTGAGCAGAGCACTCGTTACATTTAAATAATAAACGAAATTATTTGTAAGAATGATCACACTCAACCAACGGCCTATCAGCATGATATTATAATATCTAGTTTGCGTCTTATTGAGGTGTGGAAGTAATTTGAAATTCAAATACCAAGTTTCAAATTTGCCTTGTGAATATTTTCTGCTTTCGATTTCAAGCCTCCCTTTGAAATTAAAAGACTTAACGTAAATAATAACAGTTTACAAAAAATGTGTGTGTGCAAGTCACACATGGTAGAAGTGAAACTTATAAAAATATAAAATATAAAACTAATCGTAAGGGTCACCCACTCCGCCGTGCAATAGAGCAGCCGCACCACGGGGGAGCCGCCTGCATGATCACTGTATCCCGACGCCAGGTAGGTATGATTTAGCAAGAGAAATACGAGAACATCTATCAACTGTGTAACATCTCGTCACCGCGATTCAGGAATTGTTGAATTTACGTGCAGCGACATCTGTTGATAACAAACTAAATAGAAATACAATTAAACATGGCGCGTAACTAAAGAAATTAAGATGGCGCGTAACAGAAAAACGTTACATACGTTTTTTACTCCCTACGTCGATAAAGAAGTTTCACTTCAACAGTAATAATAAAAAAAGCAGCAAGCCATACGCGAGTTTATCGGAGGTGCATTGCGTGACGCAAAAGACTAAATGTAGCCGGATTGGCCATTATGCAAAACGAGCGGTCTTGGTCGCGAAAAAATATCGGATATCCACTCGGGGGAGGTCGCACCTGAAATATTCAAGGATGACTAAAGTAGCTACGGGGATGTTCGGGGGCGTATCAAATAACCTAGTCTTTTGTTATGGTAATGTCTCGGCGAAATTATCTCCGCTGCGTATAATCTCGGTAGATAGAACTTTTTACTGGCTTCCTTTTCGTTCCGGTATCTCTTTTTGATCTTCATTTGATTCGAACGTTCATGTACGGCTCGATGAATTTATCGGAAATTAAGCTTTAACACAACGACGTCAAGTGTTATTTTACACAAAAACTAAAAAAAATCCAGATATTATATGAGTCCGCTCACGTTAATCGTGTCCTAACCGTATTATCCCGTATTCTCCTTTCATTAATTTCTACCTGGAAAGTGGCAAATCATGTTCCACGTAACAACCATAATATATTGTTTATTTCTAACGCAAAGAATTATATAAAATAATGAAAGGACCAAGTACTGAAGTTAACTACAATATTTTTATTGCTTAGTTGGGTGGACGAGCTCACATGCCATCTGGTATTAAGTGGTTACTGGAGCCCATAGACATCTACGATGTAAATGTGCCACCCACCTTGAGACATAAGTTCTAATATCTCAGTATAGTTACAACGACTTCCCTAACCTTCAAACCGAAACGCATTACTGATCCACGGCAGAAATAGGCAGGGTGGTGGTACCTACCCGCGCGGACTCATAAGAGGTCCTACCACCAGCAATTACGCAAATTATAATTTTGCGGATTTCATTTTTATTACACGATGTTATTCCTTCACCGTAGAAGTCAATCGTGAACATTTGTCGAGTACGTATTTCATTAGAAAATACATATGTGTCTGAGCAGTGAACATAGCGGCAACTCTGGTGACAACATCACATCAAGTAGACTCATCTGCTGCACACGATAATAAACAGATAAAACTGGGAATTCACGGGTACGTACCCAAACAGATAGCGTTTTACGAGAATGAAAGGTGAGCAACTTTATGACGTAAGTTTCACTCCAGAACTATTCGTCTTCGAAGTATCCTTTTAAATCGAAACGATCAAACTTCAAAGGAAAACTTACTTCGTCGGATACGATCCGGATATAAAAGGTATTGGTAACAACGGACGAAAAGGCTTGACTGTCTGTCAGATTGTGCTAAAAAATGTATGGTTTTTTTTTTCCAAGCCACTTTTTATTTGTTAAAACCTTTGCCATCTATATTATTTTGCCGCAACTGTGCCAGTAACCTTCCCTGACGAGCCAATTACGACTATGTTTTTGATGATTGAAGGATTACTGGTGGCCCGGAGGCCTTTCCAGTTTCACCAGGACAGGTGGGCGAGCAAAGGCTCAGCCAGGAGGGGTGGGATTTGCTAACAGCTGTCCGAGCGCCTACGAAGGAGACCTAACCTAACCGATTACGACTACACAAAGCTTCAGCTCCATACAATAAGCGAGGTACGGATAAACGAACAAAACTTATTAATATTGCTTTATACAATTACGTCAACGTGATAACATTATTAATTTCGTTATGAATGGTTATAGATATAGAACAAATACCGTTTGAGGCCTCTTATTTCAAGTTGGGTGACGGTACTCACCTTGTGATTACTATGAACAACGATGACAGCGTAAAAATAAATAATAGTTTAAAAAAACTAACAAAATACGCTTTTTATAGAAAATCCAACAAAAAAAGAAAATAAATTTTAATAAATTTGAATTAAAAATAAGGTAAGAAAAAATGATATAATTGTAAAAAAGCGTGGGATGTTTTTAGGATATTATCAATATAACCCTTCTACTCATATCTGTTCATAAAATATTTATAACTACTGATACCACGCTTCTTTTACAATAAAGTCATTAATTTTTACACTATTTTTATTTCAAATTTATTAAAAATTATTTTCTATTTTTTAGTTGGATTTTTCTATAAAAACGTATTTTGTAAAAAAATTTAACCTATTATTTATTTTTCATTTTTTAGTTGAATTTCAATTTTTTCAATATTTTTTTCAGTTTTTTTTTAATAATTAATTGTCATCGGTCCTTAATAATTATACCAAATTTCGAGTTAATCCGACCCATCTAAGCGATAAAAAATAAAATAAAAATTCGAAGTTCGCTTTAATTATAATCGCGATTGTAAGTTATCTGTTTGTTTTGTTATGAATCGTTTTAAAAGGTATTTCGATTCTTCGAACCACGCGCTTGCGTCACGGGACCGGCTTTCAGACGTAGGTTCGAAACTTCTGTCTTCTATTTACACTTCATATTATGGCTTTTTGATGGATGAAACTAGAGACTGGAATACTGTTTTGTTTTTGTTTAACAGCTTTTGACACGAAATGATGTAGATTACTAACTTACAGATAACAGAACTGAGGTAATGAAACGACAAAATAATTAGAGTCCCACACGTTTTTTTTTCTTAATCTTGTTAATTTGTATTTCTCATTACTTTATTTTCTAAAACATTGATAAGGTCGACTTGGTTATTGTTCTAATAGGCAGGGTACACTTCAGAAGTCTACACCATCACTGACAATTGAATGAAATGACTTGAAATGTACGATGTTAAGGCGCGGCCAGAACACGTATTTCGCCGAGAGTAGATCCATAGATTTGTACGAACTAGAAGCAATCACGGCTGACCTTGGGCAGAATTTGGCGGAACTCACGTCGTATCTGGTCGCGCCTTTACATGAGAACAAGCAGTACTTACACGGAGCAGGACTGGGGGGCTCGGCGCAGATGCCGATTGACTTGCTCGGGTCGTCGATGAAGCATTGCGCTAGATGGTAGTCGCCGAGTTTCGTCTGGATCTGCTGGCTGACTCGATCCCGATTTCCAGTCACCTAAAACAAACAAAGAACGTATATTTAAAATACATATTTCATCTATAACGACATACTCAAATTTGTCATTACTTTTGTTATGAAAAGCTTAGTGGCCCTAATAAGCAATAGGCAATAGGACAATAAGATAATTTTTTTCTACATATGCTGGTAGACTTAGAGGGCTATGCCAGCGTTACCGAACGAGTATGTGAACTCACGGGGCTCTAACCTGTGTGCTTAGCGCGAGTTTTTTAACGTTCTCGATAGCGTAAAAGTTAACTCATATTTGTATGGAATGGGATCGTTTGCGTACGTTTGCCGCTAGGGGCGCTGTTCCAATTGCATACAAAATTAGGTTAACTTTTACGTTATCGAGAACGTTATGAAACTCGCACTAAGCACACTGGTGACAACGATCAAATACTATGACCCTAAGGCATAAAATATAATAGTGAAGCGATTTTACTGGTATATTTCACTGGTGGTAGGACCTCTTGGGAGTCCGCACGGGTAGGTACCACCACCCCGCCTATTTCCGTCGTGAAGCAGTAATGCGTTTTGGTTCGAAGGGTGGGGTAGCCGTTGTAACTATACTGAGACCTTAGAACTTATATCTCAAGGTGGGTGGCGCATGTACGTTGTAGATGTCTATGGGCTCCAGTAACCACTTAACACCAGATGGGCTGTGAGCTCGTCCATCCATCTAAGCAATAAAAAAATTAAAAAATTCAACTTCAAGTTTCATAAAACATACAGAATTTTCCAGAAATTTGGGAACGTCATTTATTTATTTTATTTTCTAACATTACTAATTCTTAGTTGGATAAAACTATTGACTGAATAAGAGAGTCACGCAAAATTTCGCTGAGCCCCAATCGTAGTTGTTATTAGAATTTTGGATTTTTACACATAAGCTGTATTTACAGACAAGATGCATTAAGATTGGCTGGCATCAGTGCTTTTGAAACAGTCCATTGAAGCATCAGGTTTTGTTTGCACGAAGTAGATATGTTTGATCCTCTATCTTATAATAGAGGGTCAATGTTGACAAGTCCCGGGGTACCGTATTTGTAGAACTAATTTGATTGATCACAACTCAAACCAATGCATCCTTCGTTTGGCTCAACTCACTATTCACAATCTTTAGAGGGTTTCGTCATTGATCGTGTATTGTGGGGTCAATTATTTTAATTTTACGTTACATTTCAAATACTTTACAGTTTTCGTGGTCAAACGATTGTTAAAGTCAATTTTAGAGCATTGTTTTTCGTTTATTTGATTAATACCCTTTTATTAGCTAAATGACTCCATAGAGCGCCTTGTCGTTCAGGGCAAAGTAGAAGGCACCAGACCGCGTGGAAGGGTGCCCATGCGATGGACCGACCAGATCAAGTCGGCAGTTGGCGGCTGCTTGCATGAGTGCACCAGGCTCACCACAAACCGGGAGGAGTGGCGATTGCTCGTGAGGCGCATAGCATCTGCCCACAACAATGATGCTGGATGACGACCACGACCGCTCTGACAACAGTGATGCGACATACGATACGATACGATTAGCTTCACATGTATGTATGTTAGTATGTAACGGAGTCTTTGAACATGATTTTGACCTTCAAAACGTCGGATTAACTCAAAATTTGGCATACTCATTAAGGACCGATGACAATTCAATATTTAAAAAAAACGCTTTTTTTACAATATAATCATTTTTTCTTACACTATTTTTAATTCAAATTTATTAAAATTTAGTGGGATTTTCTATAAAAGCGTATTTTTTTAGTTTTTTTTATATTATTATTTATAAATATGTATTACGATTAAGTCCCTAAGTGCGTAACGTGAAGTATCAATTAGTACACATTGTACATCAAACAAGTTATAAACTGCTGTAAAAAATATATTAATAAAGTCGAGATTGGTCGTAAGTGTTTTGGTCACTTCATTGTGCCTACGATACCACAAATGCCTTAAGCACTTTCATATTATTTGAATCAGATCTATATATATATACTCGTATATATACTTGAGACCTTAGAACTTAAATCTCACGGTCCTAGTGGTTGGCGCATTTACGTTGTAGATGTCTACGGGCTCTACTAACCACTTAACACCAGGTGGGCTGAGCTCGTCCACCCATATAAGCATTAAAAAAAAAACATTACGTATTTTCGATTTTGTCCTTCAAAATTATAAATACATTATTTTTTCACATAGATTTCAGTACTTCACGATTCATGATAGAAATTTTAATTATTCCTGTATCAATGATTTGTCTAATGTATTTGCGATATTACCTTACCTATTTTCTCCATTCAGAACGTACATACGTTATATCAAACGAAAAGTAGCACTCTATTAAAAACACAGTCAGTAAAAAACTTGGATCGAAGCCAACGAGTGAATTTCAACATATAGTACGACTGACAAAAGTAACCAAAATTATACCCAAAGTAAATAAGAGATATAAAAAACATGTGTGCATTTCGCACGAGGTTTATAAAGTGAAAGCTTCAAAAACATTCCATCACATTCGATTGCAGGCTAAATCGTATTTTTTTTATTTTTATTGCTTAGATGGGTGGACGAGCTCACAGCCCACCTGATATTAAGTGGTTACTGGAGCCCATAGACATCTACAACGTAAATGCGCCACCCACCTTGAGATATAAGTTCTAAGGTCTTAGTATAGTTACAACGGCTGCCCCACCCTTCAAACCGAAACGCATTACTGCTTTACGGCAGAAACAGGCGGGGCGGTGGTACCTACCCGTGCGGACTCACAATTGGTATAATGTTGTCTCTTTTAAATGTCACTTTTTCGTTTCAAATCACAACGGTGCTAAATAAGTTTTAATTTTAAAAATATTCTAAATATTGTGGAGACTTAAACGTAAACTAAAGTAATTTATTAAAATTATAGCTCAAAAAACGAGTAGGTTTTCATATTCATATTGTTCTAAACCTAATTCACAGGTGGAAGATATGTAGAAAAGGTCCATTAAATATCGGTTAGATTTTTTTTAATTGCTTATATGGGTGGACGAGCTCACAGCCCACCCGGTGTTAAGTTGTTACTGAAGCCCACAGACATACCATCTACAATGTAAATGCGCTACTCACCTTGAGATATAAGTTCGAAGGTCTCAGTATAGTCACAACGGCTGCCCCGCTCTTCAAACCGAAACGTATTACTGCTTCACGGCGGAAATAGGCAGGGTGGTGGTACCTACCTGTGCGGACTCACAAGAGGTCCCACCACCAGTAAAAAGTTCATATATCATCAGAAAAATTGGTACCCGCCTGCGGGATTCGAACACTGTTGCATACGATACGATAGCACCGAACGTCTTATCCTTTAGGCCACGACGACTTATAGTTAGTTTAGTAGTAACATTAGTTACATGATAAAAAAATATTATGTATTTACTTTAATATTTAATTAATCTCAGTACCGCATCAAACATCAGAAAGCGGAGATTCCGAGGTCGCAGACCATGTGTTGTACGCCTCGACGTGTCCTAAATAAACCGGGCTCAATGTCATCTGACACTCTTCGACGTGTGACTCATGCGAGATCCGTCGAGAAAGGAAGCGTACAGAAGGAAAACTTCCTTGTCCGTTCATTAATAAACTCGGAAGACGGAAATGCTTTTGAAAACGTTTTCGTATGAAATTCTTCGATATGATGAACCCAGTGTACCGACAAACCAATCGTCAAATGTAAGACAAGAACTAACCAATTACTCACGGCCTATTTTCCGATCCATTAACGGTACTTTTAGGTACCTCAAGCACCGGTCGTCGTCCTCGCCGAACCCGTCGCTTGCGACGAAGGGCTCGACGAGTAAATTAACCCATAGACACAGCCCACTGAGTTTCGGATCATCTCAGTGGGTCGCGATACCGATCCGGTGGTAGATTCTGCGAAGCACTGCTCTTGCTACGGCCAGTATTAGCAACACTTTGAGCCCCGTGAGCTCACCTACACATTAAGGCAAAGCTTCTCAAGGCTATCCATCAGCATAGGCGAGAAAAAAAAACGGCCTATTGGATGTAGCATCATAGTAAAGATGGCCTTGACCTAACAAGCCTGGACGCATAGCACATACTATGGATAAACAGACAAACTCATCAAACAGCATCAAAACAAAGGATATTAAAAAGTTTTGCGCTGATAAATATTTTAATTACGACATAAAATAAGTAATTGTGGCTTTGTTTACCGAACGAAGGCGAAACTCTGTGACGTTTATCGCGAAGGTTACCGGAATTATCTACGTAGTTCAGGAGGGGGGTAATTTGGAAGAATTGTACAATATTTCGCGCTGGTCACAGCGAATCGTGAATTTTAAAAGAGTTTAAAAAATTCACAACGTTTGTGATATAAAACCACAATTTTTCATTTGTTTATACCACATTACTACTACAAGTTTCGTAGAAAGTCGTCGAACTTCGTTTATCGAAGTATGGTATACTACAGTATCAAAGTGAACCATCTGTATAAAACTTTATTGTAATATTCACCATCGTTTCAACATCACGAGAAGGAGTTATACTATTTTCGGAATCGTCTTTCTTTATACAAATCGTGACTAATGTCTTCATCGAAACTATATGAGTCATCGACGATTCAATCGGATTGAAATACTTTCAACAAACTATTTAACTTTAAAAATAATAATGGAAAAATGGACAAAGCTAAGATGGGTATGAAGTTGAACTTTTGTGTCTTTTAGTTGCATCTACATACGTATTTGTGTGACCTGCCTTAACTTTGTTTAAAAGGTGAACAATTAAGTCAAAACATCAAAACAAACAATTAGAATCGGACATCGGAATTCATGAATACATCATCGCAGACAAAAGAGTAAAACCGTATACACAAAAAACCGGGTCTATTCGATTTCAACTCACGTGAAACGTTAGTGATTTGATTGAAACGACTAAATGATTTACTGAGCCGCGTTCCAGTCGAAACATTATTCCGAACGATCCGATCGTACGGAAAAGCACTCCGG